GAAGAGCTAGCATACTGCTGGTGCCCAAAAGGCTGGCTGTTTCAGTGACGATTTTACCAGTTTACAGTCTCCTGTGCCAAAGTTCAATAGTTAACACTTGAATTTTATCTACAAATACCACTTTCCTTTAATAAATTTGACTTCAGATTGGGAATGTTTTTCTTCTTCCTCCAGACCTTTTTGTGCATATTTGTTTTAAGTAACTAAAAAGTGTTCACTTTGGAGACATCAAAGAATTCCAGGTCTTTGATCAGAAGGTCATTTGGTGGTTTCTAGAATTTCCTCACAAAACCATTGCTGTATCAGAAGCGACCAGCATGATGAGGGCTAGCTGCATATTCTTGGCTTTTACAGGTCCTGAGGGAATACCTGTATTGTCTGCCAGGGTTACAAGGTTAGAGATGCTTTGAGGTGCTGTGAATTTCATGATCAATTTTGGTTACAATGGTGCTTTCCACTCTTTCTTTAAACTGGGAGAAAAAAGTCCGTATGGAGTACTGACATACTGATGCTCTGTAATGTTTTTAAGAGAATTAGCTTTGCATTGGAAAGTATTTAAAATTTGTGTTAAATATCACATTTCCATACGAAGGGCATGAAACAGATTGACAAAGGGAGGAATGAGGCAAGTGGTGATTTTGATTTTACCCTGCTTTCCTTTCATATCCTACCACCTCCGCTGCTCTAGACACTTTGAAGAGGCCCCTTCCTCTTCTCCTCCACTATGTATTTTCTGGATTTCTTCTATAGCTAACTCAGGCCATTTTCCACAGCACAAAACTGGAAATACATAATGTTAATAATAGCACTGGTTTCTAGGTGTTTAAACTAATAAGTATCTAATCTTAATTGATACAGTCATCACTCTGATGAAACTTCTTCTAAGTAAACTACTCAGAAGGAGAGATGCACTAGTTTTATAATTTCATGACATTAGATATTAATCTGCTATTATTTATGTGTCTTGTGTTATAGCTCTTTATCTGAGGGCCTGCCAGGAGCACAAAGGGACTGCTTCTTATTTTTTTGTGAAATATTAATTGATCCTTCATATTAAATTCAAGTTTCATTAGCTTTTGAGAAGTACAAAGTGACTAGAAGCGTGCTCTAAATTGTTTGCAAAAGTTAAATATCTAAAAGAGCTGGGGCGTGGTGGTGCACGACTGTAACCCCAGCACTTGGGAGGTGAGGCAGGAGGGTTGCTGTGAGTTGAAGCTCAGCCTAAGCTACATAGTGAGTTTAAGGCCAGTCTGAGGTACATAGCGAGACCCTGTCTCAAAACACCAAAAAAAATTTAAAAGAAAAGTTTATTTTAGAATTCTTACACTTGGATATAAAGAATGTCTTAAGATACTTTGCAAGGATCCGTATATGGAATTCTTAGTGTTTTTTTATTTTTCCGTGTTCATCTAAAGGTGGTAGCTAAGAGTTCTTTGCACTTAAGCTCTGGCCCTGAGACTTACTGATTGTACAAACTAGTGTCTCTAAGTTGCCATTGTTTTCCTTTTAAAATGAGGATAAAAATACTGCTCAACTTTGTGGTGAGGATGAGGAAGGCTTTGAGTGCTGAGCATTGCACATGGACCCACGTAAGTGCTTTCTGGTGGTTGCTGTTTTTACTGTGGGTATTTTAATATTTAAAAACCATTATTGTGTTATACTATGAAGGAATTGTGTTTCAGTCATGCCAATTACATTCTTTAATGTTTTTAAGGATAATTTGTTTCCGCTAATTTATGATTTTTTTTACAATAGTATTTACTGCACTTGACAATTCCCAGACTTCTCAGGGAATGTATCATCTTTCATATTTTTTTTCCATGGCAAAGGGTATTAAAAGTTCGAAACCACCAACAGAACAGGGACCACTTGGGAAAAGCCCTTTGGTGAGCCGGGAGGCTCTGAAGAGCTCACTGTTTGTATAACCTTTGAGCAGTCAAACTGTTAGTCCTTGTATCAGTCATCACTGAGCGATCCCCTAACAGCTTCCTCTTCTTGGCAATCTTCATTGCCTCCTGATCAGACTCTAGCTCCTTGTAGTTAGGTACCCCAAACTCCCTTCTCCTAAAATGCAGTGGCTTGCCTAAACCACCCATACTTTGGCCAATTGTTTTTCAAATCAGTTTTTGTTAGTAGATGCCAAACAAACGTTTGGACCAACCCTCCCATGAGTATGAGTGAGAGAAATTGCAAGGTGCTTATTTCCAACAACGTACTTTTGTGTTGTTCTACTTAAAGATATGTTTGTAATTTTCTGTTTAGAATGTTTTAAGGTACATGAGCTGAGAGAGCTCCATTCAGTGGTCTGATAAGCCCCTGGTTTGTTTTAATAACTTTTTTGTGCGACATATCAGATAGCATTAGATAACTGCATTTACTGAAAGACAGTGCTTTTGTGGTGTCTCATATACTAGTGTGTATGAGTGATGTTGATTTGTGTCACCCTTTTGTTTAAGCCTCAGCATGCTCCTGCAGTTCCTCTGAACTCACTGATAACAGCTGTTACTATGGCTGCAAGTTATTTCATTTGCTGAACTGATGCTTGATAAGAAGAATGTCATTAAATTGTCTGCCGTTCTGAATTTAAACAGAACAGTTTTCCTTAAGGAGTCAGATTAGGAAACTGGAGTTAGAAGTCCAAGCCCTGTATTCTCAAATCTAGGTTGTACAATACTTGCATGTGTGTGTGTGTGTGTGTGTGTGTGTGTACACACTGTGTGCAAGTGTGGACTTTGGGATCATTATCTTGGCACCAACTGGAAACCTTGGCCTTGCTGTTGGGAACAGGGAGGGGGAAATGCATTAATTCAAGTAATGAAATGTCATATCAACCTCTCTGAAAAGTGGGGTTCTTCTTTTAAGATCTTTGACAGATGGTGACTGAAATCTTGACTCATTGTGGGCTTATATTTTAGAGATTCTTATTAACCCACACGTTCAAGTGTATCTTCAAGACATGATGATTTGGATAAAGTAAAAAGTATCTTTTGAAATGTAATTTTTCCCTGTAGCTAACATGGAGCCATGTGATCATTGATTAGGATGGTTGTGAAGCCCTCTGGAAGGTAGGGCAGTGTAGTGGCTGCCAACACAGATGCTGGAGTAACAGTGGCTTTGCCACCTACTCTGTGTGTGATCATGCACACTAACTTCTGCTTCAGTTTCCTTAGTCATAGAAATGGAACTATCAGCATCTTGTCTCTTTGGATTGCTGTAAGAATTAATCAAATTAATTAATACCATAATTTTTTTGCAATACTAGAGATGGAATCCAGCCCCGTGGGCATTCTAGGCAAGTGTTGAATCATGAACTACATCTCCAGCTCAAATTAATATGCTAAAACACTTAGAACGAAAGGGAAAAACTGTACAAGAGAAATTGTTCTTTTTAAAACTTTGTTTTTTTGAAACTGCCTAGCTCTGTAACTGCTTCATTGCTTAGAGTTACTTTCTTGATTCCTGTAACCATGAGAGCATAACTGAACATACAGAATGCCTGATTGTACCATTTACCAAGCTTCATAAACTGATGATCATTAATCTACCCCTGTAACCAATAATTTCACCCAGCTAGCTAATCAGAAGAACTGCCAGGCTGTTCTGTCTCACCTTTGTACCTCCACCTCCTGCTTGTACATCCTGTAAAAGCCTCAGACCACCAGAGATCGGGCCTGATATTCTGGGAATGATCCTGATCAGTGCTTGTTTATGTAAATAAACCTGCCTCCAAGTACCGGGTGTTGTTTGGTGTTTCTGCTTGCCCTTGCAAGAACAGTGCTTTAAATGTAGTGAGCATTATGAGTATCAGCTATTTTTCTAGTAATCTTTGTTTCCTTTTTAATACTATTAAGGTCTAAAAGTCACGTAATTCTTCTTTTTGAAGGACAACATAGAAGCTGTTTTCTTTATCTGTGAGGTACAATAACATCTTGGCATTTCCTTGATTTTGTTTGGTTTCATAAAGCAAATGAGTAAGGTAATTGAAACAGCAAATTCAATTCAGTGTAAAAGCACCAGAGTTCTGTTCTCAGAGGAAGTTCTTGATAAATCCCAGAAGAGTGGCAGTTTTGTTATTTTTAAAAATTGTTTTATGTTTTGCAGTGCTGGGAATAGAACCCAGGGCCTTACATGTACTAGGCACACACTCCACTACTGAGCTACACCCCGGCCCAAGAGTGGTTTTAAATATGCAGGATTTTAAAAACATCAAAAAGAACATCTAGGATGTGTTAGTACAAGTACATACTGTACTCTAAGCTTTGTGAAAACTTACCGACTTCTACACTCTAAGGGGTAAAATTTATTGTATGTACTTTTATCTCAATAAGTGGATTTTTAAAAAGCTGAACTCATGGTGGTGAGAATGTTATAGGTATTCAGTTAAGTACTTTTGACTAAAGAATAATTAAATGGGTGCATGAATGAAGTAATTTCATTCTTCAGTGATGGAGTACATTGAGGCTTTAGGATGCAAAAGGGGTCAATTTTTATGTCTTTGGTTTTTTATGATTTGAAATGTTTACCAAAAATGAGCTCCCTCTTGTACTTTTTGGAAATATCAGTTGGCTTTTGAGACTTAGACCCTGGGCCTCTACTGAGAAACCTTATCCCTGTGTAAGCTGAGCAAAACAATAGGCCATGTATAGGAACCAACACAGACTTTTCATACTGGCTGCTATTGTGAAGAACTTGTCTGGGGTCCCTGTAGCTCTCTCTCTCTCTCTCTCTCTCTCTCTCTCTCTCTGTGTGTGTGCGCATGTGCGTGTGCATGTGTAAGTATGTGTGTGTGTGTTACTGGGGTTTGAACCTAGGGCTTTCACAGTGAACTACATCTCAGGACCTCTTTTTATTTTTTATTTTGACATTGGGTCTTGCCCAGACAGGGCTGAAAAGTGCAATCCTCCTGCCTCAGCCCTCCAGGCTGGGATTATAGGTGCATGCCACCACACCCAACTCCTGTGATATATTTAATCCTGACGTCTTACTGTCCTTTCCCCCAGGTATGGCAGCAGCCAAACTTCTGCATGACTCTGGCCTGAATGTGGTAGTTCTGGAAGCCCGGGACCGTGTGGGAGGACGGACTTACACCATTAGGGTAAGATGCTGAGGGCGGGCCAGGAAATTGTGAGCGAAATCTGAGTTTTGTTTTCCCTGGAAGTTTTCAATTTCATTTGACTCTTTCTGAACTTGAAAATTACTCTGAAAATTCTGTTTCTGTCTCTGTCTTGGTCTCTGTCTCTCTCTGTCTCTTCTCCTTCTCTCTCTCTTTTTCTCTGTCTCTCTGTCTCTCTATTTGTTGTGTTGGGGGTGAAAACACTGAGCTACCCCCCTCTCCCAAGCTTTTCTTATACTTTGCCTTCCTTTCAACTCTTTCATCTCTCCCCTTTTTTCTTCTGATATAGTGATATTTTCCATTACAGTTAGCATGAAGGGAGAGAGGAATGGGGAGTGTGTGTGTGGGGGTGAAATAAGAATAAAAATATCACGGGGCTGGGGATTTAGCTCAGCAGCAAAGCGCCTGCCTAGCAAGCGCAAGGTCGTGAGTTCGGTTCCTGGTACCGGAGAAAAACGAAAAAACAAAAAAAACCAAAAAAAACAAAAAATGAAAAAAACCAAAAAGAATAAAAATATCACAAGTCTTTGTACTTTTAGTTTCAAACTTTGGTGCTTCTCTAAGCACTAACATAATCATTTCAACCACACAAACTAAACAGTTTAGGAGGCAGAGAGGGGATAGTCTTGTTCTCACTTACTCATTTTTAATCTATACTATTTTAAGAAACAGATCATAATTGTGCTACATTTATAAAGTATGATGTGATACATATACAATATGTAGTGATAAAATCAACCTAATTAACTTGTCTGTCATCTCTGGGCACTTTTGTGCTGATACACTTGAAATTGACTTTTAGTTATTTTGAAATATACATTAGTACTGACCAAGGTCACTGTGCTGTGCCATAGCTCTCCAGTCCTAATCCTCCTGTTTAGCTGAAAACTGGTGTACTTAGACCATGCTCGTAGCCTTGGTATACATCATTATATTTTTTGAGTTCAGCTTTTTTTTGAGAGTCTACATATGAGTAAGATCATGTAGTACATATCTTTCTGTCTCTCTTCCAGTTTATTTCACTTAGCACTGTGTTTTCCAGTTCCATCCATGCTGCTCCAAATGACAGAAATTGCCTTGTTTCTTAACAAGGCTGCATGGTATTCCATTGTGTATGTAAACCACACTTTCTTCATCCATACAAAATTCTGTTCCTTTTTAGGAGGTTGAGTAGGGAGCTAGATTCACGAAAAAAACAAAGGCCATTTCTGGTATGCCTAATAGGTACCTGCTTCTGCTTAGACATCATCAGAGATAGTTGAGCTTTTCTCCATCTTTCTTATTCAAAGGTTGCCACTTAGGATTTAGAAATGATGCCGACTGGGGCTAGGAGTGTAGCTGGGTGGTAGAGTGGTTTGCCTAACACGCATAGGCTTTGTTCCATCCATCCCCACTACTGCAAAAACAACAGAACAGAGCAGAACAAAAAGCAAAAAAGATATTGATTCAAAGTGTCTAGAAAAAGCATATAAAATATTATTAAACAAAAAAGCAGCATCAAAGATGTCAATTATGACCAAGTAGTGTACCTTTCTCATAAGTTAGCAAACCTTGTAAGAAGAGATCGTTTCCTTTCTTGCTTTTTCTCTAGCATTAAATCCCTCAAAATGGTCTCAAGTACTGAGTAAAGGGATTCCTGAACAATTAACAAACTCAAGGCAAACCGTGTTGTGGTATATTGTGAGCACTGGTGTTCAGAAATCTTTTGCTTACTTAGCATTCAATCAATTTTTCTTTAAATTAAAAATTGGACCAATGACTATTAAATCATGTGGATGAAATATAGTAGAATTGAGAACAGAATTCACTTTTCCATGAACATTCCTTGAAATGTGTCTATAACATGTAAAATGTCAATTTGCTTATTTCAGGACTTTTAAAATTTCCTCATATTTTCATAATATTTTTTTTTTCACGGGAAAACAGAACCAAAATGTTAAATATGTGGACCTTGGAGGATCCTATGTTGGGCCAACCCAGAATCGCATCTTAAGGTTGGCGAAGGAGCTGGGATTGGAGACCTATAGAGTGAATGATGTTGAGTATCAGATCCACCATGTAAAGGTAAGCTGAGGCCAGGCACTGAAAATTTGAAATTCTATATGAGTATAACATATGAGTTCCAGATCGTTCTCTCAGAAAATCTTCTGCTCCTTCGATGATGCATCTATAAATTTATATTCTATAAATTCAGCCACTCTGGTAATTTATTCATTTGTTATTAAACAATTAGGTAGGAGGAATTCTCCCCTATTTAGGAAGGTTACATTGTCAATTTGGTAAAATGTTTAGCAAATTCAGTGGAGAAAAATATTTGTGATTTATTTATTAAATACTTCTCTTTAAATACCTGTGACACTTTCATGTTATATAAAAGCCTGTGTGAAATTTTTCAAATGCTGCCCTAGCCTTTATATTAGAAAGATTATTTGGAATATGGCTGATGAAATATTTTAAAATATTATCATTCTGTCCTACATCAGTTAAAATTATTCTTCTTTAGAGGATGATGGGAAAGGGCTTAAGTTCCAAATCCCATCAGTTGCAGGGAAGCTTCATGGATCTTTCCATGAATTCTGTCAATTCTGTCAACTGGGTCTTTCCTTCTCATGGTTCCAACTTCCATGACACCTATGCTCATCCATAGCTCATACCTTGCAACTCTTTTCTTCCTTTATCTCGATGTTCATCTGGGTTCAAACTCACATCTTCATCTTGATTTTCCTCACACCACCTCACGCATCTGTGTGTTGCAGACTGGACTGGGGATTTGAGCAATGGAGGGCTTTTGAACTGCAGAAACACAAACAGCTTAGAAGTGAATATCACCCATTCTAGAAAGTCCTTAGACCAAAGCACCCCTGAGGATTTCTCACTAGTCACATTTCTCTGTGGATTCCAGTTTCCCTGCATTTGTTTGTCCTTAGATTCTGTTCACATCTTCTGTTTCCTGTTTTCCCAGAATCCTCACTTTGGCCCAGAAAAGAAAACTACTGATGTTCTCTGACAAGCAAAGAAAGAGTCATCTATCCCAGGCCCCATCCTGGAGTCTCACAGAACTGGCAGAGCTTTTGAATTTCTATCTTTCCTCTCTTATCCCATAGGTGGAAGTAAACAGTATAGACACATTCTTCTTCATGGGTAGAAGTCATCCCCTTAGAAAGATAGAAGCGGGGCTGGGATGGTAGCTCAGTGGTCGATGTGCGCTCAGCATGTGCTATGCCCTGGGTTTGACCACCAGCACTGCAAAGAAACAGAACAAAAAAGAAATCAGCATTGGTCAGTTTTGATTTATGTAGCAAATCTGACACTCTTACATTTGTGGGTGATACTACCAAGAAAGACAAATAACAGACTATACATTATGAATCATTTAATAAAATAGGATCTAAACATCTACTTAATTTAGTATAAGGTAGGGAAAAGGTTTTGTTAAGTTATAAATAAGCATTTTCGGTAGTTGTCAAATTTTGTATAAGCCATTTCTTGCTTCTAGCAGAAAAAGGGTCACAAGAATTAGAAATGAGAATGAAACATGGCAGTAGTGTGATATGTTGAACAACCATCAGCAGTTCTTTGTTTGGTTCTTTGGTTTTTTAAATGTAGGTCAAGGTGATCAATTGTTTAATGTCTTCCTTATTCTGCCTGCCCAACTTGAAGAAATTGACTTCTGCAAGTACAAGGATCTCTTAGATTTCTCCAGACACAGGAGATAACCACAGATTATATTCACCTTTCTGCCTTTGACCCGATAGGTATTCTGGTCAGTTAGGAGCTATGTCCAGCATGCTTTTTTTCCCTGGTAATCTTATAGCTGCCATTACGTCCTTTGCCCGAGACACCATGTTTCCAGTTACCAATTACAGAAATGATGATGTTACACTTACATGATTTTTTACAGCCATGGCCAAATGTACTGCTTTCTTAGACTCTTTGCAATACTCTTTTTGTAGGGACAAAAATACAAATAATTAAGCAGCATCCCTGATTTAATACAGGGTAACTACATATACCAACAGTGCTGTTTATATAATTTAAAATAAATCTCATTGCTTTTTAAATTATTGTAAATGCAAAGCATGTCCACTGTAAAAATATAAGTAGAAAATATGCGTAAAGAAAAACAATTTTTAAAACACCCTCTGTAATCCTATTTTGAGAAAAATCACGCCAAAATTGTTGGTTTCTGGATTTTCGTATTCCAAAGTTGCCATTGTCTGACCTCTGCTGGAGGAAATGGGAAATATCAGCGCATTTAAAAATTATCATGTACTTATGCATATTTGTGTATGTCTGATATACTAACTTATTTTCTAATTAATTCTCACTGATAAGACAGATTGAAAGACAAATGTCTCTATAAAACAAACATTTTCACAATCTTGACAAGAATGCCGCTTTGGATACTTTGTGGTCATATCTAGGGAAGAGCTACAAGACAAAATATAATTAAGACCCTGTATCTGAGAAGTCCTCCCGAACTAAATACTTTTGCTCTACCTTCACCAGTCCCATGTCTTTGGTCACATGCTATTTTTCTCATTTTTAACTTATCAAAAGTATCTTGGATGGTTATATCTATTTCTAGAGTTATTAACAAGAACTAACATTCTATCTCCTATTGTTTGCTGGAGAATGTAGTTCAGAAATGTGTCTCTTCTGTCAAGGAAGACCGAGCTTGGGCATTTGAACATTTCTCCTCTATTACCTATTTTGATGACTATTGTCTCCAAGTGCAAACTGCGGTTCATGGAAACATATAGCAGATTTGTGCCTTGTTTCTTTAGCAAACTTGTAGGTATTTCTCAGCTTGAATCTTGAGAGTATCAAGTATTTTGTTTGCCATATTGTCAGAGCCTCTGTGCAAATCAGCCCATTAAATGGATCTTTTATTTAAAAATTTCTTACATGATTGTTAACGGGAGAGAGTTCTGTATGCAGCCTTCATAATATTAGGTTGCTGGTTGATGTTGATTCTGTTTTGGTGGTGGTTTGAGGATGGAAACCAGGGCCTTGCACATAGTAGGCACTCTACCTGTTGAACTACACCCCTGGCCTGACTGGTTGGTATTAAAATTGATAAAATCAAGCTACCTGGAAAAAGAGAAGCACACAATAGCTCATGGTATGTTAGCTACCCACTTGAAAAGGTGTGTTGCCTCAAGATAGCATGACTCCCATAATCATAAATTCTCTGGTAGGTTCAGAGGAAATGGTCAGCAGACAGACAGGGCCTATTCATATTGGCTCCATAAATAAGCATCCATAAACCCTACTGTATTGTGATGAACAAACCTCTATGCTGCCTGGATCCAATCTTTCAGAAATGTTTAAATATACTGGAGGTCATTTACTTTTAGTGCTACTATAGATCTGTTTTTATGCTGTTAAAATGTGATTTTTCAAAAAATGACTTTGTGGTAAAAGATGTGATATCACATAGTATTGGGATTTAACTATTACTGGGAAAAGTCATCACTTCAGTTGAAATTTATATAATTGGGAAGGTATTTTCATCACTTCTAAAGTCAGAGTTAGAGCCATTAACAATTATTTTTGAGCATCTACTGAGGTTTCACAAATAGTCATGCTAATTTCGGCTGGTATAGTTTAGAAGGCAGACGTTCAGATGTCTGGGAAATGACTTGCAGAAATTGCTCTCCTTTATAAGTATCTCATATATGAAAAGAAAAAGACAAAAACTTCTTAAGGAATTCTGTTGTATTTTGACTTCTGCCTCTTCCTTTCTCCTTGCGTATGTGTGCATTTGTTTACATGTTCATCTGTGTGTGATTGTTTTGTTGTTTGGTTTTTGTTCTTTTGAGTCCCTACTTTGGAGAAGCTGGAGGTTTGGTACAACTTAGGCTACTGGCAAATAAAATTTCCCTGTCTCAGGAGCTTTCACCAGCCTGAAATTTGAAACTGAAGTCCAATCACAGTACTCTTGAAACTGATTTAGGACTCAAGGGTGATCCTGTTAAGAATTTGGTCAGCATAAGGATGTAATGTGACTTAAAATTAAGAGCCCAACTTCGTCATTTTCAAACTTCAGCTACCTGGAGCAACTGAACAAAAAGACACGCTGGTCTTAGTTTATCTGGAAGTGGGCAGAAGCCAAGCACTTGGTTAAAGTTTCTTTTGTGTTATATACGGTCAGCTTCTAGGGTACAGAGGCATATGGGTGAGGGAACAGCTGTTGAATGGAGTGTCTCCGCTATAACTGCCATTGCTCAAACAACTCCATGGCAGAGGAAGCATTTGGCATAGCCCTTTGTCTTGGTAACAACTCTGAAATCCAGTCAAAGACATGGGATCTGAAAATCACATAAAAGCAGAGAGAGGCAACTGTAGATATCTATGTATAATATCATTTTGATGAATCTCTCACTGTAAATTCCGTCTTGGTATTTAAGAATAGCAACAGGACTAGAGTAGACACACTGAGAGATAAAATATTAAATGATAGTTGTATTTGGAAAATGGAAATTGTCCTGTTGCACAAAACCTTGGCAGTTTTGGGAGATCAGCAGGCCGGAAGGGCCCAATCTTCTTTCGGCCATTCGTGCCCCTTCTCCATATCCCTATCCTCTGTCTTAATCCAGAGAAGCCTGGATCAAAGTCCAGAGTGCACTTGCTTTTCTTATGATGATGAAAGTCTTCAGACCAATTTCGATGAACTCTTGTATTTCACCAGGAACAGCTGCCTAGTTTACATGAACTTCACACAGACCACACCCAGCTCACAGGCTCCGTGAGCCTGCCCTGTCTGAGGTGGGCTGAATGAATCTTTTCCTCCATCTACACCCAGCATCCATCCCATTTCATATTTTTTGGAAACAAATATAACTTGGCAACATGGAAGATTTCTTTTAAAGGCAAAAAAGTGGGAAATAGTTAATTTCTCTTGAGCAAGTGAACCCCATTTGTCTAGTGATCATGCTGAAACTTATGCTGCTATTCTGGAAACCAAAATACTCATTTGTGTTCTTCAGAGAATACAGGCAGATCTTCAGCATGTAATAACACTATGCCGTCAATGGCTGGATTTGGGGTAACATTTTGGG